CTGAAATTAGCCTTGTCCGTCTGTTAACATAGTTGCTTATCTGCCTTTCCAAACTGAGAATATCAATGATAGTAAACTTTGTCTTACTCTGTTTGTTCCACGAAACCAAAAGCTGCCTTTGACAAACACTAAGCATTTATCAAATTTATCAAATGAACCATTGGCCATTTGACAAACATGTCTCTAATATAATGCTAATCAGATCATGCTAACTTATTCATAACAAGGTATTCTCAGTGAAGGCTGTGAGAAGATGAATGGCAGGAAGAGCCGCAGTTCTCTGAATGGTTGCCAGTGGTGTATGTTGAGCTTGATAAGGCATTACAGAAGCAGGGACTTCAAAACCCTTTTAAGTATGCAGCATTACTTAAAAGGGGTCTTGTGAGCCAGGTGTGGTGACACATACCTTTAATCTCAGCACTCAGGAGGCAGTAACAGGTGGATCTCTTAGTTTGAGGCCAGCCTGATCTACAGAATAAGTTCCAGGACAGCCAGGCCTACACAGAGAAACCCTGTCTTGAAAAACCAAAAAAAAAAAAAAAAAAAAAAAAAAAAAAAGTGAGGAAGGAGTGTGTTTCAGGTTAGAGTTACTTCTAATAGATTTTGTAAAGGGCATGAGCCAAGAACTCATTAAAAACCTTCCACAACTATTACAAAGATAAACAGCAGAAAACTCGAGGACAAAGAAAAATTACAGGTATTTTCAAAACAATACTTGATTTAGTGATGATTAGCCATAGTTCTGGCAGAGACAATTAGACAATTAAATATTGTTTGATTGTGCATGTTGAAAGTAAGAACTGAGAAAATCTATTTATTGAATCTCATCCATTACTCAAATGCATGACTGGGACCTCAGAAAGCTCGTTCAACACAAATATAAAGCCCAAGGACTATGTTGAGACCTCATCACCACACAAGCAGAATATTATCCACTGTGGTTTCCCTCTTGCTCAGAATTTTTGTCAAACTCCTTCAGCCCACCAAATTTGGATGGGCACCAGCTGTTTGTTAGGGACTGTGCTTGGTGATGGGCATAAGAAATGAATAACAACAATTCCCAAAACTTCAAAGAAGACACAGCATTTTTCATTTCTATATCTGGAAGGGAATTGAAAAGTCACACATCATGATAACGATGGTTTGTCTCTCCATTTCTGCCTTTGTTTTCTGTGGTTTTACAGTGGTCTTCGTTCAGTATTTAAGCCTTGAGGTCACAGTGGGTTTCGATTTCCCCTCGCTTAGCCCAGTGACTCATAGGCCACAGCTAAAGATCTAGTATTCTATTATTAGCTTCTTCAAACCTGATTATTCTAAGAAACACCTTCTACCAGCAACATGGTAATCATGTTTAAATATAACTCTTCCCAATCAATCTAAATTTCCTTATTTTTAACCAAGTTTCCTTTTGTTTAGATGTGACCATTTGTTTCTTTTAACTTAACCCATCTTTTATTTTGGCTTTTCAAGACAGGGTTTCTCTGTGGGTTTGGAGACTAACCTGGAACTAGCTCTGTAGACCAGGCTGGATTTGAATTGCCTGTCTCTGCTTCCCAAGTGCTGGGATTAAAGGTATCTGCCACCAACGCCCAGGGGTTAACCCATATTTTAATGATCCTAGTTGACTTTAACATGTAAGATGAGTGTGTGTGTGTGTGTGTGTGTGTGTGTGTGTGTGTGTCTGTGTGTGTCTGTCGAAAGCACATACTTTTGATTGAATATCACTGATTCCCAGTTGGGATTCTCTTTTTTTTTTTCACCAAACCCTGTCTGCATTTTCCAGGTTTTCTAGAGCTACAGTTGTCAGGATTAGAGCTGCTGCTCAAGGGGATAGCGACACCCAATTCATGGCTGTCTAACTACAGCAGTGAGGGTGATTGCATGCTTTGTACATACCAAGTACAGGGCAACACACATACTTGTATTGATATCTGCATTTAACAAAAAGTCTCAGGTAGGGTAAGTATTTGGCCCAGTTGTATCATTAAGCAAAGGAACAAGGGTCATGCATCAGCCTCACCTGTCTGATCATAGCCTATGCATTCAGCCTCCACATTAATATGAAACTCATTTTCCAGTCTTTCAGTAAGTCAGGGCAATAGGGCTGTAATTGTTCATTTTCTGTCTTCACATGTATTTCTGATTTAAAAACTAGCCATTCATAGAAGACATCTGCTTCTGTAGAGTTGGAAATACAAGCCTATAGCTGACTTCTCAGTGACTTTTGCAATTTTGACCATAGGTTATTCATTCGATTTTTTTTATATGTATTGAAGAATGGGAAAGAGCTTTTTAAGTTAATAATAAGACACAATGTCAATATGATGTGAATATAGGCTTGATTTTCACAGCAAATCTTTGTTTAAATTACTTTCTCTTTCTCTTTTTTCTCCTTCCAATCTGTAATCAAAATGAACATTAGTGTAAATAGGATCACTCTAAAATTTTTTTTTGGTATTAGACTTTTATTATACTCCTTGTAGGACTAACTTTTTCTTCAGTTATTTTTTTGTCATTAACTATATAATCATAACGATCAAGTGCCTAACTTGCATGGTAAATAGTTATCCGTTTTCCAAAGAACTTGTTCTGATGACAGAATTTAGAACAAATCTAGTGCATGCCCATACTCAAGAAAAAGATAATCAATTAACACGCTTTTTGAAAATAAGTAATTTTTAAAACCTCAGCATTTTCTACATTTTGGTGAAGCAATTGAACTTTATTTTTGGTATTAGCTGTTGATACCCTGCCTAAATAGCTTCAGGGATGAGTGTTTGCTTTATTGATTTCCTGTCTTTCCCAGAAAGGACAATGAGTTGTTTGCACCTATTGCTGTTCCCATCTACGGTGGGCAAATCGCAGTTTCTTCAGTCTGCTTATTGAATTTGCCTTCATGGTCAATACAGATGGCTGCAATCAAATCAATTCTGGGACAAGCTGCACTCAGTACTGGATCCATCTGAATGGATCAGCCCTAGGATGACAGAATCTATGTAACTGCCAGATACTTATTATGATTTATAAAATGAAAATGCTTTAATTAATTTACTACGAGGGAAAAAGCTACATTCAAAGTGCTAAAATGAAAAAAAAAAAAAAAACTGAGGCCATTAAAATCCCTAAAGAATTAGGTCTGAGGGAAAGAGTCATAAATGATGCCCAAATGACTTCATGCAGACCTACAGATCCAGCTAATGAATGGTTGCTAAATAGGACAAATGCAGCTCATTATCCTTTTAATGGCATGGATTATAGATAATTATAGGTAAACTATCACTGCAATCTGAAATGTGATGTACATGACACTTTGGGCCTTTTGTTATCTCACACAATAACACTGAATATCCTCCAAGTTCAGATTTGCAAGTGAATAAAAGAACGGACCTAAGCCCAGTGCGATGAACCCAATGGCGCACCTACAATAATAATTTTGCTTTGTTTACATATTTACAAATCACTTTCCTAATAAAAGGAAGCTAGAGAAAAGTAAAAAACGCTCATGTCCACCTGTTCTGCAGAACTGAAGCAAGCATACAGAATGAAGTTGGTGTAAGGGACAGAAGGTGAGTACACACTTCCTTTGCTTATTCCTTCCACGCTTGACCCTTGATCAGGTTTGGTGCACGAAGGCAAAAGTTTAGAAAAGGAGCTTGGCTGTCCAAATTTTAGACAGTAATGTGACATGGATGTAAAGACTGGAAAAATAAAATACAAGTGCTCCTTGATGATGAGATAATTTCATTAGGTCTCCCCAGAGGCACAGAATTAATAAGACACACATATAAAAGGACATTGTGGATATTGTGCTACCTGATTCGGGAGGTTTAAAGGCCCACGACATGCCAATGGCAAGCTGAGGCGACAAGAAAACAGGCAGTGCAATTTAGTTTGAGTTGCAGAAGGCAACTTTGGTTTCTATTATCAGGTCTGATGTCCAAGGGCAGAGTAGATGGACTTATAGTTGAAAAGAGAGCAAATTAGTCTGCCCTCTTTTTTTTTTTTTTCATTTTTTTCTGGATCTGCAATAAAATGTATGATATCTAGTCCATTAGTAAGAGCAGATATTTGCTTAACCTACTACTGATCAAATGGTAATCTCTTACTGAAACACTCAGACATACACCTAAAAACAATAGTTTACTAATTATCCAGTCATCTAATAGCCTAGTCAAGTTGACACATAAAATGAACTACCATGCCAGCCCCAAAACTCCAGGAAAAACTGTGCCCCCCCCAGTGCATGAATTATCCCCCAGACAGTAAGAAAATACTAAACTAGAATTATGCACTCATGTGTATACCTCTTAGCATATGGAAATGAGTCATGAGAAATCCTAAAATTGAGGGAACTTTCAAAAGCATATGCATTGCAGGTAAATAGGTAATACATTTACTTTACTCACTCACTGGTCATTAAAAATAAAACAAAGCATTGGGTATTGGGTATACACTGTAAGCCAGGAATTGAGGGAATTGCAAAGACCCGTTTTTTTCCTTTGTAGAGTTTAAAACCAGTCAGGGAACAAGACAAATTTGTGAGGAGGGAATGAATACACCCCCCACCACACACACACACACACACACACGCACACACACACACACAGTATAACCATAAAAACCAGCAAGCGATGCTAAAATTGATATAAAAACAACCACAGATATTTGATAACCTAGATGGAAGCTTCAAGGTATATTATAATAAAGGGGGTATGCCGGCGGTAAAACATCAGAGACCACATTGCATTTTCAAATGCGGAAAAGGTGAGACCTGTCCAAGTGGACCAGAGAGAGCAGGGAGAGCTGGGTGGGAGCAGGTGCAGGGAGACACAGAGAATGAGCATGGAGAATGCACTAGCTCCTACCACTGTAGCAAACTTGGCCCAAACTTGGCCTTGTTGTCTGAATGACAAAAGACTTGCTTGACATGCAAAGGGGATTTTGTCAGTTTAAACACACTCACACACACACACACACACACACACACACACACACACACACACACCACATAATGCTTCATGAGTTTGTATGTCAAGCCTGTGCAGGGCCATGCTAATCTTTTTCTATACCGTTCCAATATTAGTATATGAGCTGCTGTAATGAGCTCATATAGTCACATGCTCTCTTATCAATACCCCATGGTTTATCCTCTTCACCATGACAAGCATTATTTAACTTTATTGTTTATGTACTATATGCCAGGTCTCACCAGGCATCCCTTGCTGTCCTGGAACTCACTATGTAGACCAGGCTGCTCTGGAACCCACAGAGGTCTGCCTTGCTCTGCTCCTAAGTGAGGATTAAGTGTCCCATCATACCCAGCAGATTTTACCAATGATTTTTATCAACAGTAAGTGTCTTTCCCCATTGAAAGTATGAAGCTATTTACTCAAATGTGCTTTATATATTTTCCTTCCTGGAACCTCTCATGCACTACATAAGAGGCCATATCATTTGCCTTTCAACGAGACATCCTTATCATTTCATTTTACTTAGCTCTTAATGCCAAGAGGGCTCAATTAAAGTAAATTACTTTTCAGAGTTGAAAGACTGGTTCCCTTTGAAAATATTCTTCAGAGGTCAATAGTGGTCACTGGCTTAAGAATTTGGGGCCAGGAACTAATGAGGATTGATAAGACAGTGTTTTAGTGATATGCTAGGCATATGAATTGCTGCACTCACATCAAAGAAAACAATATCCTGGAAGAATCTTCATACTTCCTTTCATTTGACAGCCATTTTAGATTCATCCATTAAACAAACAAGAAGAGCCCCATTGCTAAGGAGCTTGAAGGAGAAGACTTGGCAATGCCTCTGAGCCTTTTCTTATGTTACTCCAAGTTTAAAATCGTGAGTACAAATGTATCTAGGTTTTACTTACTTTTCTCATAACCTTATGAATAAAACACATTCTATATAATCCAAGGCACACTCAAAGTAGAGACTTCATTAAACGATAATTATGGTATCTATTTGGGGGCTGGAGAGAAGGCACAGTGGTTAAGAGCATTTGCTGTTCTTGCATAGGACCCGCACTCAGTTTGCAGAGGCCCCGTACTCAGTTTGCAGAGGCCCCACACTCACATCCAGTAGCTCATAACCACGTATGATTCCAGTTCCAGGGGATCCAGCACCCTCTCTGAGCCTCCATGGATACCAGGCACACATGTGATACACATACATATATATGCAGGTACTCACACATAGACATAAAATAAAGGCAAATATACTTTTAGAAAAGGTCACATTTCATAGACTTAATATATAATACCATGGAAGTTCCAGATAGCTACTTATCATATTCTCTTGTCTAACTGGGTTCAAATGCCAGCTTTTGGGAAATGTTCAAAAAGGTCACCTCATTAAGGAAATACATAGACTTAGAATGATCTCATATGGATGAAAGTTACATGATACTTGTAAGTGGCAATAAACTGTGGAGTTTCTGTTTGTTTGTTTTTTGTAAGTTGGGAGTAATTTTTAAAATCACATTTACATGATGGAAGGTATATATACTGTTGGATGCCACAGGGCCTAAAAGTCTGAAGTTATAAAACCCATCATAGGTGACATGTGGGCTTAGTCATGGTCATCTTGTTGATTTCATATTTCCTTTTCAAGGAGGAGAACAAATTCTGGATATTTTCTTAGTCAACTTCTCATTTTAGGCTTTAGTGACCCATCAATCAATATAGGATCTACTTTCTATCTCTATTTGAAAACAAAACAAAACAAACTGTGTGCCAACCCTATGCCAAGCCTTTGGCTTTCAACAGTGAAACACACCCTGTAGCTGTGTACGTTATAACTACGCAATAACACATTTTCAGATCAATAACACAAAGCTGTTATGTAAAAAATAAAGCAAAGCAGGCTGAGGGAGGGACTATTTTAATGGAAGGTCATAAAAGGCCTTCTGAAGCAGCTGGGGCTTCCACTCTCCTTGAATTACTGTCCACACTTTCAATGTAGAACATGTAAGTACTTCCCATGCAGTACCAACTCTCGGTTCATCCATCTTCTGCTTATTTCTACTAGGTTTTGCCTCTCAGAGAGTGAGTTATGAGGGGGCTGATAATGCTATTTCTGTTGACAGCTTTACAAAGAGGTTTGGTTGAAAAGAAGTCTAACAATAACGGATAAAAAAGGATATTCTTGGATTCTAATGACAGACCTTTTTTCTGTGGCACTTTGGGCTCACATCTGCAGATAACTAAGAAAGACTTGGTTTTCTGATTGATTTCAGTTTTTCATAGGTCCTGGGAATATATTTGATGTTTATCATTTGGAATAGATGATATATTTTTGTGGCCATTTCAGTTTGTTCACTTCTGAATCTGCTAGGTAGATATCTTGAATCTATAGTAATCTACTCACAGTTTGATATTCCATTAAACTAATAAGAAGATTAATGTACTCAAGGTATATGTTGCATATTTTCTACTGATGATAGTTTAATTAACATTAAATTAGTTCCTCAACTCTTTGACTTATTTAACAGACTATTGCTAAATTGATGACAAAAAAATGGAAAATTTAAGGTTCAATGTCACGTTTGTCTTATGGTGGTGTTGAACTCTATGGGACAAAGACCTAATTCTGAAGGAAGTAGTTATAGGAACAAAGAAAAGCATTCAATATTTCTAAAGAGAAAGAGAAAAAACAGAGACTCAGAACAATTGACAATAAAGACACACGGCATTGTACATCATCAAAACTCATGGGTAGTTAAATGGAATTCTATGCCTGCTATCAGGAGTCAAATTTCCTTGAGGACTCCTCCCTACACATCCTAGTCATGTAATCTTAAGTGGTCAAGGGATGTTTCTAGAAATCCAATTTTGGATCGGACCATAAGTTATACTTCCTAAGAGTATAATATGCTGGGGAGCTCCCTTGCACTGTAGAGGATTTAGACTCCAAAAAGAGAGAATTCACACCTAGGCCAGTGAACTTCTTTCATGAAAGACCATAAGACTAATACAATGTCTTCTTGTTGAATTGAAGTCTATCTCTACTTCCAGTTCTGTAACAGAAACTGAATCACACCTTGAGGGGCTCCTTTCCTATATCATTTTGACTGCACACATATATTTCAATGTGTGCTGGATCTGTAATTTAATTTTTTTGGGGGGGCATAATGGGAGAAAGCCAGGAAGAAAAGGAGGCCCTTAGCCTTGTTTTCTGATCCACAATTTCCTTGAGTTCTTCCCTAGAACAGCTATTGAGGGAGTTGTAGATGAAAAGGCTTTTTAACTCCTATTCTGATGTTGAGTGTGTATGGATCATTCAGTAGACTCACAAGAAGGGCGGAGCAACTGTGAAGACAGCATTAAGGGACTCCTGGGTCTCTAGATATAATGTTATCAAACATTGTTACATCTTCATTTTTATCCAAAAGAAAATCCTTGTCATTACTGACAAGCCGGCTACTTAGAAAATGGCTTCTAATGGCTTCTTGGATGGATGTTTTGACCAGCCCTTATAGCAATATTCCACACAAACATTTACAAATTGAACAATTCATAAAACTATCTGTAGCCTTCTATGAATTTTAATAGGCTGAAAGTTTCTTCTGATAGCTTTGTTGACCCAGGGTTTCTGGATCACGCAGGCCTTCACCTACTGGATGCTATCTCGCGAAAGACATTTAAAAATGCTTACATAATTATCACCTACTCAGGTAGAAGGACACTACTCCTGGTGATCTGGTCACTGTACTCTCAGTGCAGTATAATTTTATAGACATTTAACACCTGATTGCAAACGAGGTCAATCAAACCTCTTAGCTCATTTTCCCATGACTAACATTCAAGGCAAAGTATGCAATGATCTGCTCTTATACAACTGATTATTTTTTATCCTCAAGGCAGGATTTTATATTTTTCTACAGTAAATTTCATCCTAATGGTACTTTTTTCCCCTGTTCAGCCTCTGAAGAGAATTCTGCACCAGGACTTTTTCATCCATCATATAAGCAGTTATTCCTTCCAGATTTGCAACACATACAGGTTTGGAGAGCATGCTGTAATGCTGGACTCTGCTTTCTGACCTTTGTAGCTCTTTCCTGGGGAAGGCTCTTTCCTACAGGGGAATTATAGGCCTAAGAGTTGAAAATAGCTCAGCAACAAAGCAGTCCTGCTGCCTGTCTCTCAAACCTACCTCCTGACAACCAGTTATCAAACAAACAGTTAAATGAACAAATCTTAAATGAGACTTGTTCAACCATGTCTATACATAGAGACATCTGTTTTTACATTAATTCTTTAAAAACCACCATCAACTTTAAGAACACATTAAATATACCTACCGAGAGGCAAATTAGTGCGGTCACTATATAGCTTCATCAACATATTGTAGATATATTTGAACAACCCTATGTGCTACTCTGTAGTCTGTTTCTCCTGTATGTGGATGTGTGGATACATAGGCCAGGCATCAATGTCAAGTGTCTTCTTCACTCACTTTTCACCTTATTTTTGAAGACAAAGTCTCTCACTGAACCTTAAAGTCATTGATTTGGCCAGACTCACTGGCCAGCAAGCCCCAAGGGTCTTCTTGTTTCTGTTCCCAACATGCGGGACTCACATGGCTATCTGATTTTTTTCATGTGGGTGATAAAGATGGAACTCAACTCTGCATGCTTCTAACAGCTGAGTAGTATTCTGTTGTGCAAATGTACTACATCTTCTTTATCCATTCTTCAGCTGAGGGGCATCTAGGTTGTTCCAGGTTCTAGTTATTATGAGTAAAGTACTTGAAGGCAAATGGAGGGAACTAGGAAAAAAATCATCCTGAGTGAAGGAACCAAGAACCCAGAAAGACAAACATGGTATGTATTTACTTATAAGTGTAAAGTAAAGGATAATCATGCTATAGTCCACAGACCCAGAGAGCCTAGGTAACAGGGAGGACCCATGGGGGGGCACATGGATCTCCCCAGGAAGGGAAAATTGATCACCGTGGGTGAGGGGTGATGGGAACTTGAGGGACCTGGTTGGGGGTTGGATACTGAAAGAGATGATTGGAAAGGGAGGGCATTTTGGGATCAGATGGAAACCTGGTTCAAGGAAACTCCCAGGAACCTACATGGATGGTCCCAGCTAA